ATTCCATTTCTAGATTTTGTTGTTATTTTAAGGGAAAACACAATCTTATGTGAAAATTAAGCATGATGTGATCAAGATAAGGGAGGCACACCCACTGATCATGAGAAATTCTCAAACAAATTTCTCCACAACTGCCTGGGAACATCACAGTGCAGAAAGATGATTGGCAGTTTCAAAACTGTCCTAATAAATGAAATAAAAGCTTGGAGGCAAGGTTTATGTGGTCAAGACTCCTGCAGCAATTCACTAGTACTGATTACAAATTACTAATTCTGTTAATTCAAGCTTAACCGTAGAGGAAGCTTTAACCTGACATAAAAAATCTTCATGGGAATTATGAATACAAGGATTATAAGTTTAAAGTGCAAAAACAATCGTGCAAGTGCAACGAAGTAAACTAGAAAAGTTAATAGAGTCAAGAATACCAAGAATAGAAATCAAACCAGAAACTTCTTTAGTATTGGGGTTCCTTAGAAAGGGAAAATTCCAATAATTGAGAGTCACAAGGTTGGGACTAACAAAGATAAGACTTTGCAGCAGAGTACCGAGAAACATAAGGCATTTAGCAAGGTAGAAAGAAAATGCAAGAGGGGAAAGAACCAAAAACAGGACTCCTCGATCCACAAGTCACCTGACAAATGGGTGTGGAATCATAGCCCACAGTTGAAGAGAACAAAGAGATTGAATGGAACACCTGATAAATGAATTTCTTGAGACTTTCGTTAGCGGCATTAATCTGAATCTTGGCATCCTAAATATTATGACGACAAGAACATAAAGATAAAAAGAAAAATAATCCAAGAAGAGTTTAAAAAAAATAAAGACATTCATACAAACTTGGATGCATCTTGAAAGCTTTGGACTTGACAGGTATAATATCATTAGACTAGAAATCTTTATGTTAAACTCATTAATTTAAATATGAAGTATTGACTTAAAATATTTTAAATTAAAAACTTGCATTTTAGCTCTTAAAAAAAAGTGTGAGATATAATCATGGTTTTCATCTTTTATCACATATGTCTTACAAAGTTTGAAATATTTTTATTACTATCTTCATAAAGTTTTCAAAGTTGTTCTATCCCCCAATTTCATTGGATTTCACTTTTAGCTTCTATAATTTTTTCAATGTTTTTAAATCTTATAGTTTTTTTAGTATTGTACTATTTTTAGTCCCTATAAATATTGAAAACACTAAAACAAAACTACAGGACTAAAAAGCAAAATTTAACAAAATTATAGGGATAAAAAATTATGTTTTTCCTTATTTAAGTTCGAAAAAGAAAGAACCCCTTCTTTTATATTGCCACCTACTTCCTCCATTCAAAAATATAAAGCATTTTTTGATAAATTAGATGATTAAAAATGTAAGGTATTTTTAATCTTTTGATGTGTAATCATTGCCTTTTTTTTCAAAATTTATTGATAATGACTTTATATCTATTGTAAGGTATTTAATAGGGACAAATATGAAAAGATAGGGTTAGTTAAAAACTAGATAATTATTTTATTGGGAGGTGAGATTTGATTAAAAATGTCTTATATTTTTTAACAGAGAGAGTATTTAAATACTTGCAAGAATTTTACTTTACAGTAAAAAAAATTTTAGGAAATTTGTTATGCAAATTGTACATATGATTAGGCTAATTAGCTTAGTTAGACATGCATATAAATGAGGACGAATAAAAATATGACATTATTTCAAGCCAAAAACAGGAAGGGAATTTTAATTAATAATAGTTAGGGGGAAATGGAAGATTGGAGACTGTGGAGAAGACAAGGGAGACATGCATACAATAGTGTGTTGACCTTTATATCATTAATTTAAGGATTGTGGTTGTGAGATTTGAAGACACACATCTTTTTTTCTTCTCCCATTCTTCTTCCAACACCAAAGTATCTTATTTTCTAACGTTAATTCTCTCTGCTTTTTACTTCACTAATTTCTCCACGTGCTTTTGTTGGATTTTCTTAATATTTAATTTTTAATAGTAACAGTAATAGCAACTATGGACGGGGACGGGCAAAACTAGGAACCAGCTTATATAAAATAATTAAGAAGAGAGCATGATGAAGATGGTAAACATATATAATTAGGATAAAGATGTCTTGGTCTGGAATAGATGACATTGTTTGTATTGCTTTTGATTTACGTACATCAGATATGTTTGTATCTTAGTTTTCTTGAAACTGAATAAATATATTTAAAATATTCTGATGAAATTAAAGGATATTAAGGTGAAGTTTAGTTTACATTGTATTGATTTAGTTTGACATTCTTCGAAACGTTTGTTCGGGTGATCATTTGCTACGTTGAAAAACATCAGCATTCAGCAGTATATATGGGATCCGACTGTTCTACAAACAAAAGGATTAATAATGCTCGCCTTAGTATTGTGATGATCATCAGAATTTGAAGTAAAATTGACTTCAAAATGAATAACGAGCCACTTCATTCATTGGGTACGTAATTTTTTTTCCCTATACTGCCCATTTTACATGATGTCACGTCACTCTGAGAAAGTTTATCTGTTCAGCTAAATGACCTAAAGTTTCGAAAGCTGTAGCAAATGAATTTGAACTCTCTTTTTTCATAAAAGAACAGATGATTTGCCGATAAACACTGCAAAGAAGGAAGTACGAAAAAAGTAGGACAAAATATTGGCCCTACGTACTTTAATTGGTTTTCAAGTTGACGAGACGCTTCATATATGTAAAGTATTAAGGCCAGTGCACCAGCTATCTCCATGTCTTTTCTTTCTATCTCTTGCTTTGTTTCACCAGAAATGAGAAGACATTCAGAGTTCGGAGTAAAAGATATTGATATTGGCATTGAACTCTTCTTTAATGCTTATCCTTTCTTGGTAAAGAGAATCCACGAAGCAGATATATATATATATATATACACTCCTTTCATTATCAAAATTTGGAATTATTATTTTTATAGCACACATATATAATAATACGTTCCTGATTTATAGAACCTTACATATATATACTTTTTTGGACCGAGAATAATGGTGAATCCTATCAAAAGACTGATTTAAGCAAAAGGATTTGGGTTTAAGAAAGTGAAAGGAAGAGAGGGTGAGGTACATATGTGTAACGGCACTTCAATCGTTTCATGCTTTTACAGACTCCAGAAGGGAGAGAGCTTGTACGTGTAGCAGTTAAAATAAATCTGGGCGTAAATATACCAAACCAGGCTTTGATGAACATCAGCTTTTAATTCCCTCTAACTAAGGCCTAAACCACCTCTTCTTGCTTCCAGCTTCCATGCATGGTAAATTCCAAGAATGAATATATGTCGTTCCCGCTAATCTGCGTCATCAATATTCCCTATAGCATGTACGCGGACATTGATATATACATTTTTTTAATGAATAGTTGCATGTTGTACAGCATAAGAAAGATTGAAAAAAGGGTTAAACTTCACTCACACACACACAATTTGTGTTACGTATTATTAGGTGTCAACGATTCACGAAGGAATTCGCCAAGCACAATAGGAGGATATCATTATCTCCTTCTTGTCCAATAAGTCTCTATGACACCCTAAACATGGCCTCCTGTGCACTTTGCCTTCCCTTATTATCCTCAAAGGCCACCCCTGAAAGAGAAATTAACCTTCTTTTTCTGTTAAAGGGGACATATCACTTATCCTGTGCAGATCATCAGGCCCCTCCTATATACATGCATGCATGCATATCTAGGTCTATAAATAAAATATAATATACGCATGATTAGCAAATTACTACGATGGTGTAGCACCTTTATATTTCTTTTTAACATGAAAAGAGGAACTTATATCCATTCTGGAACACTACAAACTACACTCAGACTCAGGGTGTTATCCTACACTGATGAAAAGAAGTCGCCGTTACACAAATATACAAATCTTGTCTGTGTCTCTAGCCTGAACTTTGACATGCGTGCTACTTCTACCTCTAACTCTAAACCTTGGGGAGGCCAGCAAGTGCTCTCGTTCCCACCCTGCCTACTCACTCATTCCAATTTCTAAATTCCACAGTGAGTGAATGACATGCATCTTCCCAAAAATTGTAGAGAGAATATATTCCCAGTATAAAAGCATGTGACTAACTGACTATATATGAACCTCCACACTGGCATAAACTTATTTCTGAAGGCTCTTTAAGTTCTAAATTCTGCGTTGCATGGATCTACGTTGAAGGCTCTTTGATGAAGTTTAAGGTGAGGACCATGTTGGGAAAGCAAAGATATGAAAAAGATAGAAATATGTAATGGATTGTGCAGAACAGGAAAAGGCAAGTTTGAAGAGGAAGCTTGGGAGAGTGAAACAGGAAAATGCAGACGATATGATGTGAAGGTGAAGTCCAAGAAACAGAAATACAGGGGAGAGAGGGAGAGAGACGAGAAAGATTTTTGGTCGGGTAGGGCCGACAAGAAGGACGAAGGCAGCCGTCTATTTAGTCTCTCTCTCCTGCCAAACCCTCTGCTCTTATGCCGATCTCTCCCCTTTTCTCCTCTTTTCTTAATCACACCCTTCCATTCCTGTCCTCTTTTTAACCCTTCACTTAATCATCTTCTCTTCAAGTCCAACACTTTGACTCCCACTTTCTCGTCTTCAAAAATCAAAACATACCATCAACATCAATAATAATTTATTTTCCAGGTTCAACAATCAATCACCGACAAGAATTTCCATAATAAGAATTTAACACCAGATTAAAAAATATTAAACTCCCTCCTTTCCTCTCTCCCCTCCCCCCTTTCTGTACATGTCTGTGTCTGTCTTGCATAAGGTGACGACTGCTACAGAGACCAACTTTACATTTCTAAGGAAAAAGAAAGCAGTAACAACAGCATAATCCCTCACGCACATTAAGCTTTTATTTTATTTTATTTTGTGAGGGGGCAACTGCATTCACAAAGCTCGATGTGATCCTGGTCTGGGCTCTATAAATACGAGCAGGATCTCCCGGCATTGCTCACACTGCAACACTATATCTTCTTTCTACTCTCGCTCGCTTCATCACAATCTCAATCATTTCATTGCACGCTCCATTAGTTCCCGTTGGTGGTAGAAATTATTCACAGAAGAAGGATGCAGTACCAAGCGGCGTCGTGGGGAGGGTATTTGGTGGGAGGAGGCATGGACCCGGTGGAGAGGATAGAGAGGATGGCGTCGGAGAACGCGGTCGTGATATTCAGCGTAAGCACGTGCTGCATGTGCCACGCCATGAAGAGGCTGTTGTGCGGGATGGGAGTGAACCCGACGGTTCACGAGCTGGATCAGGACCCCGCTGGGAAGGAACTGGAGAGGGCGTTGGTCAGGATTCTGGGAACGCCCTCCGTCGTGCCGGTGGTGTTCGTCGGAGGAAAGCTCGTGGGGACCATGGACAGAGTGATGGCCTCTCACATCAACGGCACACTTGTCCCTCTCCTCAAACAAGCAGGGGCTCTCTGGCTTTGACTTTTGTTTTTTGTTTTTTTTGTTTTTTTGCTTTTGGTTTTGATTATTGGTTTGTAATGGTTTGCTTGCTCTGAGCTCCCGCTTGTGTAAAGATTATCCCAGATATTGAAAATTAAATTAAGCAGTGTTTGGTTTCTCTGCCATGCTTCGCTTGTGACTGTGTTTTTTTTTTTTTTTTACTATTAATATTTTGACTGGTGTTGTGTGGTTACGTGTAAGTTGGGGGAGACAGGAAAAAGAGAGACAAAAGGGCATAAGCGAAACAGGTGGAGTGATGATGGGACCAGAAACGGCGTCATTTCTGGACTAAGCTGTCGCTTTCTGTGTCCCTTTTGACAACATCACTCTTTTGTGCCCGTTTGGTTTGCGTCAAGAATCGATTTTTTTGAGGTTTAATCGATTTTCAAAACAAAATTTGCCAAACAGCATAATAATGAGATAATCAATTAAACATGCTAAAATTGATTTTTTTATTAATCTATTCATACCTGCTTCTGGTTTCCATTTTACCATATTAATAATAAATAATTTGTAAATAATTCATAATTGTCTTAAATAAAATTTAAGAAATTTATTAATATTAAATACAATTTTATTAATAATTTAATTTCAAAAAGCAATGTATTTTATGATAATTTGCACAGTTGAAATCAATTTCAATATTCAAACAGTTTGCATTATAACATAATCAATTCTGATTAAAATTTATCACTTAATCAATTATTTTCATAATCTATTATACTCAACTGAAATACAAACAGACCCTTTAACTGCCTACATCACGCACGCTCGCAAGATAGAGGATATGAATCCCCAGCCCCAACCCCCGCCCCCTCGGGGGCAGTAATTTTTGAACAAATCTATAATAGGAACCTGTTATTCTAATTTATTGTCTTGCTTATTTATGTCATGTTTCTAATTTGTTGGATTTTTTTTTTATTTCATCTTCCTTCTATTTAGATTTTCTTTGTGGCTTGACGAGCATTTAACTAATGTAGAACGTCTTAGTTTGAAGGTGAAACTGACAACCAAATATTTTAATTTTATTTAATAGTCACTTCTAACATATTTTATTAAAATTTTAAAAAAATTAAAATTATTAACTCTATCTTAAAATTTAACAAATTTTTAAATTTATACATATTATATATATTTTAATGATATACTATTTCTATCCTAAAATTATAAGACATGAGTAGCATTTGATGCCCCAAAATATGACATTTTAATAAAAATAATGTTCATTAATAATGCTTTTTCAGTATTATTTTTGGAAGAATTACAATCAAGCCCTAAATAAAAAATTTAATTACTGTAAAATTTATTAATAATTTAATTACATTGTATTGACAACTGATTAATTTCGTTGTGTAGGACTTAAATGTAATTCTTTCCTTATTCTTTTCATTATATTATCTCTTTTTAAATATTCATTCACAAATGAAATGTATTAAAGGAAGAGTGTTTTTAGAAGTTTAGGGCTTGTTTGGTAATTTTTTGAGAATAGTTTTTTGTTTTTTAAAACAAAAAAACTGTATGATAATGTATTTTAAAAAGTATTTTAGAGAACAAAAAATAAAAATATTATTCTAAAGAATAAAAAAATAAAAACACCTTTCAAGTGTTCTAAAATTATTGTTCTGGAGAATAAGAAAAAAATAAAAAATATTTATTTTTATAATTTTTTTCTTTTCAAAACATGTTTTATAAAACACAAGTTCTTGGGATAATAAAATAAAAAAAAGTTTCAAATAGCTCCTTATATTTTTGTTTTGAAAAAATAAAATTACAGAATATGTTTGTAAAAAAAATTAACTTTCAACAATAGAAAGTTAAAAAGTTGTTGCAATTTTGCCAGAAGAGCTTTTGTTGTTGATTTTACTTGTGACAACAATAAAGATCGAAGCTAAAGATATGTATTTGTTGCCATAGACCAAAAAAAAAAATAGCCATTGAAAAATAGTTGTTGTTGAAAGTTAAGAATTGATAAGGTCTAAAAGTGACATTAGTAAACCTTGCCATGTTTCATCACATCACCCTTCACATAGAGTTGTGTCACATGCCATGCATCACCCCCATCTCTTGTCATGTGTTACCATATCATCAATTGTCTCTTTTATGGTTCAAACTCATGATTTTCTTTGTTTATATGCAAATGATGAATTAGAGTGAACTTATAGTCTATTATTACATGATTAAATATATATTATTAAATTAAACAAACACACATATACATAGATAACATTTTTTTATATAATTCAATTACACATATATCTTAGATATTAAATGTCACTCCCTTCGTTTAAAAATATAAAATATTTGTTAAGGAGTTTGATGTTAAAAAATATAAGGTATTTTTAGTCTTTCAATGTGTAATCATTATTCTTTTTTTAAAAGTGCCCCTATTGATAATGACTTTATATTTATTATAGAGTGTTTAATAGATATAAATATGAAAAAATAGGGTTAGTTGAAAAGTAGGTAACTACTTTATTAAGGGGTGAGATTCAGTTAAAAATATCTTACATTTTTTGAATAGAGGAAGTATAAAATATTATTACTGTCATTAAATACTTTAATTTATTAAAATTTTGAACTGTGTAATTTATTTTGTTTAAAGTAAACTATAAGTATAATTGATGCAATATCATTTATATCATTTATTTTATTTTTTATACTTATTGAGATTATTGTATTATTTATTTTAATATTCATATTTATAACTATACTATCTAAAAATGGCCAAGAATGAATAATAAAAATATAGATAATTTTACATTAATCATAATTATTTATTTTTCTGGGTAGTTTTAATTAAAATTTTATTTTTACTTTCAATTAATAATAAATTAGGCATGAATGTATACTTTCTTTCGCTAACATTACATTGATGGATATAAGATGTTGTTTTTTTTTTTTTTTTGGGAAACAATGTGCAATAAACTATTAATGGGCTTTGCTGCGGTGTCACACTTGAGATTCTGTGCTTATTCCTAATAGTTACTCTCTTCATTTTAAATTATAAAATATTTTTAAATAAAATTTCACATATTAATAAACCTCATTAAATATACTTAATAATTTTATATTTTTAAAATAAAAATATAAATTTTTAAAAATATTTATAATTTAATATATTGAAAAGAAAATTGATGAAAATTAATTATAGAGAGAGAAAGGATAATATTAAAATTGATGCATTTAATGAAATTTTAATTTATTTAAAATATTTTATATTCTGGAATAAAAAAAATTTTTAAAAATATTTTATAATTTAACACGGAGAATTATAAACAAACGTAATTGGTAATATTAATTGAGTGATGCTAACAGGAAAGATTAGTTGGATTGGAAACAATAATGGAGTAGTGGGTGGGAGCTCTGGAAGTGGAATGGAGTCCCTGGTCACGCGTAACAGAAAAACAATCATTCATATAATTCAACCCAAACTTCAACAACAACACCTTGACGTCTCAATATTTACTTTTCTAAACCATTCATTTATATTCCTTTCGATTTTATATATAGTAAAAAAATTATATCACATAATTTAAAAAAATTTAATTAATCATAATAATTATGTTTAAAAATAAAACAGTTGGATAAAATATCTTATATTAATTAATTTAAAATATATTAATTGTTTCTCGTTAATGTAGATTATGAGGGGTGATTAAGAAATGTGTAATGAATATTTATTAAATTAAGTAATTTTACTTATATAAAAAAATAAATAAAAAATGATAGTTTTTTTAATAAATATAAAAGAAGGAGTATGCTTTTAAAATAGAAAGAGGTGTATTTTTAAAAAATTATGTCATTGTAACTTAAAAAATTTTCATGAAGAGTTGTGTAAAAAATTATGGTTACTAATGTCATGTCGCTCTAATTTTTTAAGATACCTTTGTAATCTTATATAATTAAAGTATGTTACTTGTGAAAGAAATGTTATTTCAAGAAAAATCTGTATATTACAAGGATACTACTTTTCGTGAAAAATTATCACAAGTAATCATTGGTTAATATTAATTCTTAAACTATGTTGATTCATGAAATAGCATATAATCATGATTTTAAATAAAGAGTTTTATTATTTCAAAAGCATCTCTCATTTGTTGCATCCAAGTATCTAAACTCGTTGTTTTTATTTTTGAGTGCACCTAAGATAAAAATCAAATTATCATTCTATAAGTATCATCGTCGTCTTATTCCAAGTCCAGAGACAGAGTACAAACCATGCTAAAAAATTTACATTGTATATTGAAAAAAAAATCATAAATCCAATTTATGCCCAAATATTAAAAAACATGAAAATAAATTAAGTTTAAAAGAAATTACTACCTCTATCTTCAATTCTTCTTCATCTCTCCTACTCACACTCTTCAAAAAGAACTATCGTTGTCAATAAACTTCACATACCCACTCCATCTTCTCCCAATCTCAATTCGTTTTATTTTTTTGATCTGGCCAACAAGTACACGAATTTGTATATAATATAGTTTATTTCATGCTCAAAAGCACAAGTTTGCAATCATGGACACTATTATAATACATGAGTATACTTTACATGTTGCATGGAATAAATCTAATATATAATATGAATAATTCATAATTTGATTTGGTATAAATTTTATATTTTTCACAGGGACGATGGTATTTATTTTGATTTTTATTTTCATCATTACAGAATACTTCCTTTATCTTCACGATATTTTTTAAAAGTTTATTTTATATCTAAATATAAAAGGTGTGATGGTATTTTTAAGTAATTAAATAATTTTACTTTTATTTTAAAAAATTAGGAAATATTAGTTATTTGTCTCACCCACCATTCCATGATATTAGTTGTGTCATTGTTAGAGGCAAAATTAAGAAGTTATTATGATTTTATATGATTTGAATTAAATAACAAATTTTTATTAATATATAAAATTTAATTAAAAATATTATATATATATAAATAGATAGTGGGAGTATTTTGTAAATATATAAAAATAAAAATGGCTACAACGGTGAATTTATAATGGGGAAGGCCCCGCAAGTCAACGATGGTGCAGCATTATTGGTGTACGGTGAGGAAGAGAAAGAGTGGATGCCCTCGTATGTGTAATATAGTGTATGTTTGAATTAAAAAAAATATAAAATATAAAATTAATTAAAATTAATAAAAAAATATGTGACTTTAATGTGATTTATATTTAAATATTTTTTTAAAAATTAATTGAATAAATTAAAATTTATTTAAATAATTTAATTTAAAATTTAATTAAAATGTATAATAAAAAATGAATATAAACTTTCTTATATATATTTGTGACAAATTTAATTTTTTTAAATATCGAACTTAAAATAACAATTTTTAAAAAAGTAATTACAAATATAAAATGCACTGAATATAAAATTAGTAAAATTTGAATATTATTAAATTTAAAATAATGCAATTGAATTTTTATTATATGTGTTTTTTGCAAACTTTAAATTTAAATTAAGAATAATATAATTTAATATTAATATTATTCTACATATTTTTCTCCAGCTGTAAATTAAAAGGTTTTTCATACATATTTTTCTTCTTCTTGCTTTTTTTTTTTAATCCTGGGAGCTGAGAACCTAAGAGACCATGAAAAGATAAATCATTAATCCTTATGCACGTGTCTAAGTCTAGTTTGTGCAAGCACCATATGGAGGAGAAAAAAAAGGTCACAAAAAAGTAATTGTTATTTAAATAATCAATACCCCCACCAATTGCAAATACCCAACACTAGAAACCAGAAAAAATATCTTCACAGCTAACGTCACATTTAATCCATAAGTCCATTAAAAAAAATTTCTATCTAGATATAATTTTTTCTCTTCTAAAAACTTTTAATATCCTAACTGAGGTTTGGTTAGCCCAAACCCCTATTAAGATATTATTCAAACATAGCTATATAAATGATATATATCCTCTTACCACATATTCATGTCAATTTTTTAAAATTTATTACTCTTTTAATTAATATGCTTGTCAGAATATAAATACTCTATATTTTTATGCATTCAAGTTTATGTTTGTGACCTGAAAAAAATAATGGTATAAAAATATAATATTTCTTTATTTTTAAATTATAAAATATTTTTAAATAAAATTATACATATCAATAATATTTATTAAATGCATCTTATAACTTTATTTTTTTAAAATTTCCTTTCATTAAATAAAGAGAATATAATGAAAAGGACAATATTAAAAAATTATATTAATAAAATCTAATTTTTGTTAAAATATCTTGTATTTTTGGAATGGCAAAATGTATCTCGAAAATATATTATCATTTGGGACAGGGAAATAAGAGATCATAGAAGTTACTATGTTATAAAGATCAGTGTAACTAGTAAAAATAACATTAAAACTAAATTTAATTTTACGCACCTTTAGAACTTTTACAAATCTTAAATTTGATACGTGCTAATTTATTGAAAGTAATTTATACAACGAAACTGTCGTGTTGCTGGGAAATCGGGAAGTACTCTTCCGGAAACTCCCAAAAGCTCTCTCTCTCTCTCTTTCGGTTAAAAAAAATATGATTATATTTTCGTGGAAGTTGGATTACCATATTAGGCAGATTGCACCCTATGAACATGTTTGTATGTCTATTTTGGTGAAATTATCCCAAATCTAACATTTGGATTTGGGAAACGAACATCAGACACGCAATATTACATAGGATCTTCACAATCTAAAAAGATAACCGCGTGGTTCTTAGTTGCAAGTGGTATCAACTTTTAGAAACACTCTTCTAATTTTATACATAAGGCAAAGAAAATATTGATTTTGATAACAGAACATTTCACTATTTTTTATTCTTATTAAAATTATTAAAAAATACTCCCTTTGATCTTATTTATAAGACACATTTTATAAGTAATTTTTTTTAAAAATACATGATACTTTGCTATAATTAAATTACTTTTTTTTAATTTTACTCATTCTTAATTAGCGTAAAGATATTTAACGTGGTTATACTATTATTTAAAGTTAAGAATAAAAATAAAAATGCATCTCACTTTTTTATGATTAAGAAAGAAAATTAATTTTTAATATGTGTGAAACGATTAAAAATGTCTTATAATAAAAATAAAAAAGAGTATATGTAAAAATTTATTAATTTTTGAAATAGAATTAATAAAGTTTAATTTTTTTATTTTGTAAAAATATATTAAAAGTAATTTATAAATAAAAATAAAAAATATTAAACTGGTATTAATGCCATTAATTAATATGGATACTGACCATAATTGATATGGATTTATGTAGATACTATTCAATGCAATTAATTAAATTTACAACAACAAAAACGATCCTTCTTACAATCATAGGGCTGGACGAGCACGGTAAGGGGATTGCGGTCAAAAAAGGTACGGAGGTTGTGGTCTCTGACGGAAATAATACTAACATTTATTTGAAACCGAACAAGCAAAACACAGAATCAAAGGAAAGCGGGGGAGTTCGGGTCTAGGGTTTTCCTTCCTCCCTCTCAAGCCCGAAAATCTCCTCTTCTTCGAATCTTTGAGGTCTCTCTCATGAGTCACCATCTCTCCCTTAATTAAAACCTCTACTTCCCTTCATTCCTCTATCTTATTTAAGGTATCATCGCTTTTCCTTTCGTTTTCTCCCCCTATTTTCATATTTTGGTTTAGGATCACTTCAGTATAGTTGGCGCTGCATCAATTTCGAACGGTTTGGAACTTGGAGCTGTCTCCTTTTTTTTTTTTAAATAATTATAATTATGGAAAGCGAAGTGCTACATTTCGTGAATCAGTTTGTTTGGTAGCTCAGCAAATTAAAGGCCTTGCGCTCAATTGGCTTCGGAAAATGAATACTGGACTAAACTGAGCAGAGCCACTTAGTTGTCCTTCGATTGTTGAGTTCTCTATAATTCTGATTTCAATATAAAAAATTTCTCCGTTCCTGCAATTACACGTCGGTACTGACTTGTCTTCTTTAAAATGATGGCAGCTCTGTACAGATTGTTGTGGCAGATTGAAAGCTGGGATTCTTGGTGGAACTTTTGTGGTGCCTTATTGTTCAGGAATTAAATCGGTGGAAGGTTTCAGATGCCGGAGGAAGACATAGTGGAGCTGAAGTTCCGTCTTTACGATGGATCGGATATCGGGCCCTTCCGCTATTCGCCGGCATCTACTGTAGCCATGCTTAAGGAGAGAATTGTTTCGGAATGGCCAAAAGGTTAGGAGCTTGACATGATTTTTGTTTCGATTCTATTTCTACATTCTTTTCCCTTCGAGTGCTATTGCTTTGACTCCCGAATTTTATCTACGGTCGTCCTTAATGATAGCTTTGGCATGCTGGCTGAGGCAAAAACTTCGTTCTCTGGCTTAAATGAAGCGTGGTCCAGCTTTTTGAGGATTTAATTCTAAGGTTTTGTCGTATTTATATATCTACCCTAGTTTCTGATTGTACAACTAAGTAATCCATGTTCCATCCGTTTCTTGACATTCCCTGCGATCAATATGCACGGAATTAATTTTGAAAACCTTTTGGTGTGATGTTCTGCTAGTTGCTTGAATCCATTTTGAGGAACCTATGAATTCTTTAGTTGAACGCGGGAAATTGGTTGGACGATTTTTTTTTTGCTGCTTTCTATGTATGATCGACTAAATTAGGTCACAGCGTGTCCTCATTAGATATTCTATTTGCAAAATCTTTAATACTAATGAATGCTGAATTGTTCCAATTAAGCTATTTAGTACCCCTGTTTGGAAAGGCTCTCCCATGCAAGTTTTTCATTTTTCGATCATCCATTAACATGTGTTAATTGATTTCAAATGGCTCTATGGGTCTTCACAAACCTCAGTTTAGTGGTTTCTCATATACTTCATCAGTCACAATGGACATGTGAATTTGGATTGCGGGAATCAGATAAGCAAAATTGTCCATCGCTATTTAAGATTGTTACATAGTCGTACCTCTGAACCTGACTATTTAGTTCTAGCCAGATGCATATGAAAGGAAACCAAAGCTATATAAGACGGATGCATGATCTGGTTAGACCCTGCTCCCCCCCCGCCCAAACTATGACCAGCTTTTAGAAGCCCTAGAAGGTCTCTTCACGATAGCTTTTGTATGTCACTATCTTCTTGAGGACGCTGCCATTATGTTCCTAATTTTTATATTTGTAATTAACGGTCTCATAATATGTCTTAATTTTATGTCAAATGCAACATCTCGTTCTGTACAGAAAAGATATAATGCTGATAGGCTCTTGATGGCCCAACCTATATCTTTAATTATGTTTCATGGGTAAGTTCAAGCAGTTGCCCGCTGCCTAGGCAATTCCAAAATAGGGAAGTAGGTGAATTTACCATGTTAAACTTTCTCCATGCTAACCTCAAAATAGAAACTCCACATTTAAAATGCAGACTTTTTGGAGTGGCAGAAGATTCTAATGCACTGCTCAAATAAATTTCTAATTTGAAAATACTGTTCTTCTGGTTTCCATTCATTCATATTTAATCCAAGAGACCAAATGCTTAAAAAACGTACAATATTAGCTCACGTATGTGGGTGCATTTGTATTCACATGGACGCTTGTGATATGTGAATTCATTCATGTTCATCTTTTTTTTCCCCTTGAATAAGTGCGAAAAGCTTCATTCAAAAGAATGTAACCAAGATACAAACAAGCCCTGAAAAATGAGGAAGAAAAAACACAAAACCAACCTACGAACCACCCAAGAGGAACTACCTATTTGGCGGCAAATCAAAAAAGTTTAACTCATTTGGCATAGAATGACACAACTTCGCAAGGTATTTGGCTTCACGTTCATCTTTTGATAGTAAGAAAAGGCAGAGTATTTACCTGGAGAGTTGAGTTAGCATCTTAACATCTATAATTCAGTTCAAACGCCTTAACTATAATGATTGAGACTGTTAATATTTTATCAAGCAGAGAAATAGAGAGAGGGGGGGGGGACGGATAAACAAGATACATTTTCTTTTTCAGCTTGGTTAATTTAATCCCAGAAGTTACAGAGAACTGGACACTTTATCTTCCCGGCCCCCTCAGTTGTCCACTTCCTCATAAAGCACACTAGGAATTGGCAAGACAAAAACAAGGAGAAATTTTGAGTTCACTGGAATCAACACGTGGGGTTCTGCCATGGGGTGAGGTCTTGTGCATGCTCCTCATGTTTATGAACGGATTGCTGGATGGAAAGGGCCAGTGCTTTGGGTGAACTGATGTTCTGTAAATTGGTCATGACAGCAGTCACATCTCACATGGATGTGCTATTTTAATGCCATTACTTTGGTTTTTCATTATAGAGAAGGCAATAGCCGATTATGAATTTGCTCCTTATTGACAGAAAATAGTCTTTATATTGTCACCTATGCTAACTTTCTGGTTATGTTGGTGTATGAGACGAGTATAATTCTAGCAAGATATGTATCTGGAATCAGATGGGTAATGTTAGATTTCTGATATATAATTGTTTCCTTTGTCTGATGAAATTGGTTAATAAATGATAGAGTACAATGACATCATATAATCTATGTAGCCGACCCCATCTAATGGGATAAGGTTTGTTGTTGTTGTTATTGTTGTCTGATGAAATTGGTTGATGGTTTTGTCCCATCTGAAGTTTTGAATTTTTTTTGGTATAATTACATTCCCTGTAATTTCAAATTCTGGACCCGTTATATTTTGCAATCACAATATTATGATGCTGGAAATAACCTTGAACTGGGGAAATATTTTACTTATCTGCGCGTGCAGTGTGTACATGCACGCACATGCACATACATGTGTGTGCGACGTAGGCAAGCACATGTATCTGGGATTCATTTTTTAGAATCATAAGTCAATGATTGTCCTCTTTACAGCATGACGAGGAAAATCCTGTTTAAATTTTGAAAGTTCCTTAAAACACAACGCCCCTTTTTAGTGTTGTTTTGCCGACAAGGAAAATTCAAGTTTTATTAATCCAGCATCAGTATCCAGTTAATAGATGTAGATGTTCTACACTGTATAATGATTGCTTAGCTGGATTATCACTCTTGCATTGATGGGTGATTTGATTTGATATGGTATTTGTATCGTTCTTTATCTGATACAGTTTCCATCTAGAGATTTTGCTTTTGGCGATTATGCTTGTAAATTCCCTTTTTGTTTTCTAGCTATGAAATTGTTCCTGCCATTCTGTCGACAGATAAGAAATTTGCACCAAAGGCAGCAAATGACATCAAATTAATAAATGCTGGGAAAATTTTGGAAAACAACAAGACAGTTGGCCAATGTAAAGTTCCTTTTGGTGATCTACCAAGAGGAGTTATCACCATGCATGTCGTGATCCAGCCATCTTATGCAAAAGCAAAAACAGGTAAATTTCAGTAATTCGTGCAAATACGTTCTATTGATGATTGACAAGTTTATTCCAGAAGCCAATGCGTATACGCTTGCTTTATATCTTTGTTGTTGATGCAACCTATGCCAAGGAGTGCAGATACCTACATATGCTAATGAGTAAATGACCGCCTTTTAAATGATAATTTTGATGCTTTTTGTTAAAGTGCAGGGAATTAAATCTCCAAAAATGGAGAGAAGTTAGATTGTATGATGATAGAAATGTAAATTACAGGATGTCTTTTGTTTAGACAATGATCAAATGTGAACTAAAAAGATACTGTGATTTCTGATGGCATGCCAAAATTTTCTTTTGTTGATTTGGACAGAGAAAAAGGTTGATGAGCCTCCTAAAAAACACATATGTTCATGTTCGATAATGTGATTACTGATTAGTGAGAATACATGGTCGTCCAGAGTTAATCTGCTGAGATTGCCTTAAAGTTGTGATTGCTGGGATCTCTCAGGCAAGTTCATGGAAATGCGTGGCTGGAAAGACAATAATATGTAGTATAGTCCCAACCCTCATTCTTAGATGTACGTTGGAGGGCATTCCTGTATAACAATGCTTGTTTGTCTTGATTTTCCTTCTGTTTTATAAAATTCGTGTTTGATGCATCTTTGAAGAGGCAATCTTAATTTTAGTTTACATAAAATATGGGAGATGCTCTTCCCCCCTCCTTTTCCTCTCCTCTCTTGACCAGCTGCCATAAATGTGGAGAATATCCATAGTTTTAGCGTACCTTGATCTCCTGACATTATTACTATTATTGTTTTTATTTTTACCAATGATAATAGACTGTATCATCCGTCTTCCTCGACGAACGAGGTTAATAATTCTTGACCCAGAGCCAGACAAGAGATGGGCAACTATTTGCCATCTTTTTGGTTAAGGTAATCCTTGACACCATTAAAAAAAAAAAGAAGGAAAAGAAAAAGAAGAAGAGAGTGATAATTTGCCATTTAAAGTCTTCACCTTTTGTCCTGGGCCTGAGAGTGAGCCGAGCTTTTTTTTTTTTTCAATTACCAACGTGAATGAACCAAGCTGGTGGAACATGGTATTAGTTCTCCTCAATTGAAAATGTGTTTTAATTTGGTTCATTTCCTTGGTTAAATTAAGAGGTTTGGATGTGATTGTACTCGCTTAAGGAATGAAGCGGAGGAGATTATAAGGTAAGTTTTAATGTATTTGATTTTAAAAGATAAGTAAGGTTATTAAATTTCATAAAAAAAGATGTAAAAGAAAATAAAAATAAAAATTAACCAAAAAAAAGTTTTAGCTTCATTTCCTTCAAACCAAACAAAAAATTAGAAGGCTTGGTAAGTCAAGCTTGAAACTTCGTAGATTGAATTAAAACTGAATCTGTCTGGCCCCCCTCCTATACAATTTAGACATTTAGTATTTACATTTAGTAATTTTTTTGTTTTAAAAAACTTGAGTTCATACAAAGTTCACTATCTAATTAAATCTATTTTTATCCTGTCACTTAATCTATAGAATAACGTATAATAAATATTTTAAATTTTAAATATAATAATTTGTTAATCATCTGATTTTATTTTTAATGATTTTCTGTAATTTTAAAAAAAATAATTTGAAAGATCATCACACATCAGTTAGGATTCATTTAGTACACAGAATAAAATGAAGGAAAAAAAATAAACTTCTTGTTGTAGACGAACAAGATTATTTCATGTTAGAACGTAGGGAAAATTATGTTGGTGGAGTTATTTTTAATTAGGTTTGATCATGCACCAACATTGTGCACTAGAATTAGATCTGATAAGTGTATTAAAAAATAATTTACAAAGTTAAAAAAATATCAGAGAAATAGTTTAAAAAGAAAACATAATAGAAGTTTGTCCCCACAAAAAAAAAAAAAAGAAAGAGAGACTTTTTTTTTTTTGATGAAAAGACAAAACCTAGGCTTGCTATCCTATACAATCAGACAAGTAGAGTAAATCCTTCGCCAGCTCATCATGCAGAGACTCCGGGATGCCAGTGAAAATACTGAGTCCAAGCATAATATTCGGTCCAAGTTTAGCGAGACCGTCGGCAGCGTTGTTCTTGTCAATCTTCTTTACATGAACTTCCCAATCTCTCTAGATTAACACCTTCACTTCCATGATCACTCCATAATCCTCATGTTCAACACCTCCCTCTGAACTGATCAATTCTAGAACTTCAGGCGAGCCCATTTCAAGTTCTACCATCCAAAATCCTGCATCCCATGCAATCTTTAACCTATGAGTGCAAGTCCAAATCTCAACAAATAGACTATCACCTTCCATCATTCTACAAGTAAATCCAATCATGAATTGTCCTTGCGAATTCCTAATGAGTCCACCACAGGCACTTCTTGAGTTGAAGTGAGAGAATGCTCCATCTAAATTACATTTAACCCAACCCGAGTCCGGTGGCTTCTATCCCTGTTTCCTGATGACCTTATCATAAACTTTCTGACACTTACCAAGACGCATTTGAGCCAACTTCATGCCTTGAATCATCGCCCGTGTACTAGCAACAACAGTTTCATTGCTTACCCAGCTCTTCTCAAAAGTATGCAGATTGCGTCTTTCCATGCCCACTAACAAATTACAGCAAACATTTCACTCCAGTCCTCTACCTCAATGTTCGCATGTGTAGAAGTGTTCCACCAAATCCAGTCTCTAAGATTAACATTAAAAAGATTTTGCCATTTACTTCCAGGGACCAACAACTGCCACAACTGTCTTGTTATAGGACAATCCCAAACCACATGAAGGATATCTTTAGTCATAATTTGGCAATATGGACATGTATCTGTCTCACTTATACCTCGTTTATGACGAGCAGCATTTGTTAATATGCTCCCACGCAAAGCCAGCCAGAGAAACGTCTTGCACCTTTAAGGAATTTTCAGCTTCCATATTCTATTCGAAACGGGATCCTGCTGGTTAACATCCGATTGACAATGTGCATAGGCAAATTTAGTTGAGAACAGACCATTCTTATTCCACTTCCACCATACATCATCGTGCCCATTCATCACCTCCGTAGGTTCGATCCAGGCTTCTTCATATCAATTCGTGGAATTAAATCATTACCACAATTATACTTATTTTGGACCTCTTTCACCTAAAAGTCATCACGATGCTTCATCAAGTTCCATCCTAACTTCATAACAAGAGACTTGTTCTGTAATTGGGCTTGCCTAATGCCTAATCCACCTTTGCTTTTAGGGCTACAAATAGCCTCCCAAGCCACAAGATGAATTCTACAGTGATCTTGATTGCTACCCCAAATAAAACTCCTGTTACATTTATCTAGCTCTTCACAAGTACTCACAGGTCATATATAGAAGTTCGCATAACATAACTAGGGATTGCATTAGTGACCGAAGAAACAAGTGTACTGTGACCAACTAGAGATATAGAATTAGTCTTCCAATTGTCCAACCTTTTCTTCACCTTATCCACAACTTCTTAAAAAGTTTTTTTTTTGACCCTCTGATGCTGGAGAGGAACCCCAAGATATTTTCTCAAGTCACAGGTTTGAGTAAATCCCAAGAGCTTAGTTTAGAACATCTAGTGTGATTAACATTCTTGGAGAAAAAGACTCTGGTTTTAGAAGCATTTACCTTCAGACCTGAGCTTAGGAAAAAATCATTAAGACATCTGTTGATAATTTCTACATGTTGAATGTTAGCCTCCGTAAAGAGAATAATATCATCTGCAAAGAAAAGATGAGAAATAGGCAGACCAGTCTTCATAAGTCGGATTGGTCTCTATTGCTCCTTATCAATCTGCAACTGAATTAAATGAGCCAATTTTTCCATACAGATAACAAACAAATAAGGAGATATTGGATCTCTTTGGCGGACATCTCTTGAAGAATAAAATTTATTAGCTTTTTTCCCATTCCATAATAGTTGCACACTCGATGTAGAAACACATCTAGAGATTAAGTCAATAAGTTGGGATGGGAGATTTAGCTCCTTTAAGCATCTAGTAAGAAATCCCCAGTTAACTCTATCATACGCCTTCTCTAGATCAATTTTTTTAGCCAAAAATCCTTCTTTATAGTCATATTCCTCATGAAATGAATAACCTCTTATGCCACAATGATATTATCAGTATTATGCCTTCCAGGGACAAAACTACATTAATTTGGAGAGATCATAAAGGGTAGAATCAACTTCAACCTATTTGCAATAACTTTTGTCATAATCTTATAGACAACATTATAAAGGCTAATCGATCAAAGATCTTTGTAAGATTTTGGTAACTCCTTCTTCAAAATAAGAACAATCAGCATACTATTAAGCTCATGCACTTTTGTGGATTAGTAAACACTTCCTTTACAAGCCTTACAACTAACTGTTTAACTGTTTTCCATTGATTCTGATGGAATAAGGCATTGAACCTATCTGGACCAGGTGATTTCAAAGGTCCTATTTGAAACAGAACTTCTTTAATCTCTTCTTCAGTGACCATCCTTCCACAACTATGGAGAAGGGTTTCATCCACCAAAGGAAACGTAACATTACAATTAAGCCAATCTCGCTACTAAACATCCTTCTTAAATAAAGTATCAAAATAAGTAGTAGTAGACTTCATTATCTCCTTGGGGTTAAAACATCCATGTGCCATTTGCATCACAAATAGCATCAATTCTATTTGCCTTTCTTCTCTTATTCGTACTGCATGAAAAAGCTTCGTATTTCAATTGCCATTCACATTCCACTCCACCCTTGCTTTTTGTGCCCGCAGTAAAGAATCTTGCAGAAGTACCTCTTTGAGTTCTTTCCATAAGGATAGCTGTAGTTGTTCAAAGTAAGAGGCATCTTCTCCCTTCTCCATAGCTCTATCAATCCCTTTTAATCTCCTTATAATCTTCTTTTTTCTAATTCTAGTATTTCCAAAAGTTGTTTGGTTCCATTTAGAGTAGGTAGTGGCAAACTTAGCAATATTCAAGTTCTAATCACTAGAATCATTCTACTCTTTACTTATAAAGTCATTAAAGTCATCATGCAACACCCACAATGTAATAAAGCAAAATGGCCGATTATGTCTAGAAGCAAAATTGGTATACCCCAACTTTAACAAAATAAGACAATGATTTGATTTATAGCATGTAGCACACTAGCATTTAGAAAGGTTTGAGTCCACTGATAATTACATAAATATTGATCTAATCTAGCCTCAAATCTTCCATGTTTCCAGGTATAAGGTGGACCACTAAATTGCATATCATGTAAATTAGAAGAGTCAACCCAAGAGATAAAATCTTTGTCTTGTGTGGTTCTACAACAAGTGTTTGACTTCCTTTCAATGCTAAACAAAGTAGCATTAAAATCTCCACTAAGAACCCATGGCCTTTGAATGCCATCCTTGATACGACATAACTCCACCCATAGATTACGTCTTAAAGATGGATTTGGACTTGCATACACATCTATAAAATACCAAGTCCCTTTTATTTGATCTTCTATTAGTAAATGAATAAATTGAGTATTCTTTCAAGAAAAGTAATCTTCTTACTTCCTACATTCTACATGTACCAAATTCCCCTATCATAACCCTCAACATCAACTAAAACTTTATACTAGAACTAAAAGAGTCCACCCTTTTCTTTGCATTTTCTTTGTCACACTGAGTCTCAAGAATGGCAAGAAAATCTAGACAATAATGCTATTTCATTTCATAGAT